CAAACTTTTTCCTCTGCATTCATCTTCAGTGTGGAATTCTTTTAGCCAGTCTTGAACTCTGCTGAGGAAAGCTAATGATCTAATAAATGTTCAAGTGAGATTGATATTATTTTATCTCATTTGTGTTTGACAAAGAAAAGAATTAGTGTTGGAGGAAACCACCCCTTTTTCCTACAGGGGAAATAAAAGACAAGAGACCTAGGAAGTTCTTCCCTGGCTCTATATACCCATTCACATCAGAATAAATAGCGTTTTACCTGTGCTAGGAGCTGTGCTCAGTCAGAAAAAGGAAGGCACTATTAAAGATTGCAAGGTTGTTCCATAAGTGGACTGAATGTAAGTGCTCTCATTGCTATAGCTTTGAAAGAGCTGAATTTTTTTCTGAAGCAAATGGAAGAACCTTGGTGAACTCTCTTGGTCATTATTAGTGTAGCCAAAGTAGTCTTACCTTTGATTACCTCCCTTCTCCCTTGCAATGGAGAGATCCTGTGGTTCTAGAATCTTCCTCTTAGTGTTTGTTAAATGCTTAGAAAGCTAGGCTTCCCACTGTCCAATCCTGAAAGGACCCCTTTTGAGAGGCCAGATGTTTAGAAATAGAAGCTATATGAGAAAGGAACTTTTGCATTTACCAGGAGGTGTGTCCACCAAAGGGGAGAGAGGCTTTTCTGTTCAGAGGAAAAAAAAATTCTTTTGAAGTTATCTGAAGGCCATGCTCAATTGAAGGATCAGCTGAATCTGTGACCATATTGAAAATTAGCATTGCTAATGAGGTTTTCAGAGACTCACAGATTATTTTAATCTACTTAACCTTCTCTATAAATACTTGTCTTAGAAAACACTGTACTTCTATTTTTGATAGTGTAATAATGGATGTGTTATTTTAAGGTGGTAGAAACAATGTTAATGTCATTTTTTCAAACACAAGTTATCAAATAATGGCATATTTCTTTATTTTTGTCAGTTCCAGTTTCATGTTAGATGTGATAGCCAACCATCTAAACTGTCTGATAAATTGGAAGGTGAGAAAAGTCTAAGTGGCTAGCTGACAAGACCATTTGTTCTCTAGTGACAAATATATGGACAAGTATCCAAATATCAGCTATTCTATGTGGACCTAGGTGAACTGAACACTGGGGACCCAAGCTTCTAAAAAACAACTCGTCAGTATGATTTACAAAAGAAGTTCTCCACCATTTCTGACATGGCCTCCAATTAAGTCAATATGATATTGAAATTTGCAGAATTAATTCCAGAATGTTCCCTGAATGAAGAGGCAAAAAAATCTGTATCTGTGAATATGAATCAATCAATTAACCATGTTCATCTGTTCTATATTTTCAAAGTTAAACTCCTTTGATAAACTTAGGTTCCTTATCATCTCAAGCCTAACCTGTTCTCATGTTGATTCATTGATTCCATCATTCATTTATTTATCCACCAAATATCTATTAAGCATCGACTATGTCACAGACACTCTCCTAAACACTGAGGATTTGGTGTTAAGCATGACAAACAAGTTTTTGTGGAGGTTATCTCTTAATGAAAGGAGATAACCAATAATTAAATGAACAAATAAATAAGCAAGAACATATTAAGCAGTAAGAAGTGCAAACCCCTTTCCCTCCAAAAAGACCCCACACAAACACAATAACAAAATATACAGGATAATGTGAGAGGTTATGACTAGAGAAAGAGAGAGGTGTTTTCATGTTAGGTGGTAAGGGAAGAAGGAGCCTCTAAGGAATAGAAAATAAAACTAAGAATAGAATGACAGAGGAGGAGACAGTAGGAAAAGATCTGAAGAGAGAATGAATGTTCCAGGCAGATGAACAGCAAGCGCAAAGGTTTAGAAGCCAGAATGAATGAAGGGTAGTTAAGAGGAGAGTTAGAATTAGATAAAAACAAAAAGATGGATGGAAGCCAGGTCACCTAAGGCTTTAAAGGCCCAGGGAAGAATTTGGGTTTTACTTTAAGCCTACTAGATACTACTGGTTTTTCTCAGATGAGTGATTTGATCTAATTTATACTTTAAATGGGAGAGAGAGAGAGAGAAGAAGGAGGAGGAGGAGGAGGAGAAGGAGAAGGGGAGAGATTACTAGTGATAAGAATGAAAGCAGCAAGGCCCATTGGGAGCCCATTGCAGTGGTCCACGTGAGAGGTGATGGTAGTAGGGGAGATTTAAAGAATGATAATGCTTTATCTAGAACAAAATACAAGGCAGGAAAAGCTAGGCCAACCAGCAGATTAGAATTTGCCTATTAGCCTTAGAACCTTATATAGTCAATGTTGACCCAGAAAGCCCTTTAGAGATCATTCCATGGAAATCCTTCTATTTAAACATGACAAAAACAGAAATACAGACCAATTCAGAAATACACCCAAGGTCCTAGAGCAAACTGCTGGCAAACCCCAAACTGAGCTTCAGACCTCTTGTCTTCTCAGGTGTTAAATAATGTGCCCAAGCCTGTACAGAATCCAGCAAGCCTTGGACAGGGATCTTGTTGGCTTGGTAGACCTCTCTCTACATCAAGAACTACCAGTTTGTATGGTGTGAATCTGCACAGTGGGAACAGCTGAGGAGTTACTACAAGTATCAAGTATTAAAATGTGGATTTGTCATACCCTGTATACTGAATAAGTAAAAGTGTAAGTGCCATCATGTGACATCTAGAGCAGAGTAGTTAACAGCTTAGACAATGGCATTCAACTAGGTTTTGATCTCAGCTTTACCAATTATTGACTGAGTGCCTTTGGATAAGTTACTTCACACTTTGGGCCTTGGTTTTCTCATCTGTAAAACCAAATAAAAATATTAACTCCTCGTAATTTTTTGAGGCCCAGATAAGGTGATATACACCAAACAAAAACACCTAGAATAGCACCTGGCATGGAGTACATATTCAAGAAATGTTCACTGTTATTATGTAGAAGAAATTTTTTTTCTTTTACTTGAAATGTGGCTCTTAATATTCAAGGTTGATAAGAATTATTCCCTGGTCACCCAAAAAAAGCCTTTAGGTATGGTTATCCCCTAAGGGTATATTGCTAGAAACAATAACTTCCCAACTCTACTCTAGAAACTACAACCTTCTAACTGCCTCTACCAGCCACCTGGAGGAAGTGGCCTTCAGTACTGGGACACTTTTCTTCAGTCAGGACTTCATTTATTTATTTTGCATCTGCTCACTGACTGTTCACTTAAATGCCTGGTGAGCCTCAGCCTTTTTTCTACATCAGATGTGTTCACTTGTCCAATATACTCCCCTGAATTACTTCTCTCACTGAAGTATAGGGGTGGGGTGGCCATCGGATATGGGAAGATAAAGTTTTCTATCAGAATTTCAAAGGAACCACAGGGCATATACAGTCTGAAGAGTTAGTAAGTACCCTGAAAGCTCATGCATAAGGAACAAGCAGATCAAAGGAAGAGGTGAAGAAAGGGAGCAAGAGGTTCCTGAGCCCAGCTTGCATGTGTGTAGTGCAGGTCTGAAAGCACTGCCTTAACCATTATTCATTTTACTCCCACACCTTCCCACCAACAGCTGTATGTTAGTATACCCATTTTACAGAGCGCAAACTAACAGCTGTATGTTAGTATAACCATTTTACGGAGCGCAAACTAATCGTCAGAGACCTTCAGGGACTTCCCAAGTCACATGGCTAGTAAATGGAGGATCATTACTAGAACCCGGGCTGCCCAGCTGCTCAACATGGCTTTTTGGTTTGTTAGTTTGGTCCCCTAACCTCCCCTCCCCTCCTCTGACTGATTTTTACTGTGTGTATAGGAAAAGGAAAAAAGGAAGAGAGATGATGGTGGCAGCTATGGTGTGGTGGTGGTG